ATTTCGTACTCCTGCCTATCTATCTGTCTGTCTGTCTGTCTGTCTGTCTACTGTCTGTCTGTCTGTCTGTCGGTCTGTCTGTCTGTCGTTCTGATTCTCTTACCTACCTTCACCGCTCTCTCTTTCACTTTCCCTGTCCCCTTCTCTCTCCATCTCTTCCCCCCCCTATCTATCCTCCCTCCTCCCCCTTTCCCCCCTCTCTCTCCCGCCCCCTCTCTTTCCCTCTCTCACACTTTCTCTCTACATAAATGGTTGCTTTTAAGCACAAGGGGGCTATCCCGAAAAATTCTTTTTTTGAAAAAATCGAAGGTAAAGTTTTTGGACTCTTGCTCAGTTTCTTTAATAAAAGACAAGGAGAGTTTTCTCTATAATCAAACAAATATACACACCAATAAAACCAACCTTCTCCTATAGGAAGGACAAAGCCCACTTTTGGTGTAGGTCAAGATTTCTATAACCCCCCCGAAATCTGGGTTGGCCCGCTTGTCCTTAAAAGCGACCATAATATGTCAACAAGAAACTCACCAGAGCCCCAGGAAATCGTGCACAAACCAATCCGTGAAGCCAGCAGACAACAGAGCTATGACAAGGGACAGGACGCCACAGATGAACAGAAAGAACACCATGTGGATGATGTAGCCCCAGGCGATGTAGGCGACCTGGAACCCGGAGTACTTTAGGCAGCTCACCTGTGTGAGGGAGAGACGCGCTTGTTTGTTTTAGAAAGGTTTTACGGCGCTCGCAACTGCATAAGGTCACATGAGCGCCAAGGGGTGGATGTCAGCAGAAAAAGTCCAAACGGGGAATTAGTCTTACTCTGCTCACCTCTCTAGCCTCAATAGCACAAAGTCTGCTTCGACTATGAAGGCACCCCGGAAATAGTAGTTCACACGAGAGTGACAAACATATAAAAGAAGCAGAGAAAAAATGACGATAGTAAGGATGAGGAAAGAAAAAGCAGCAGATCCCCCTATGTTGTTCCGGCACAGAATGAGCATGACATTGATAAATCAGGCCATTGACAATTCTACTGAGCATAAAAACATGTTAATATCCCCCTTTTGGGAATGGCCTAGACATGCTTTACAGCTGTTGCTGGGTTTCTTGTTGTTGTTGTTGTTGTTGTTGTTGTTGTTGTTGTTGTTGTTGTTGTTGTTGTTGTTGATGACGTTGTTTTTGACGTAATTGTTATTGTTGCTGTTCAAATATTTTATTCCCTGTCTATTATATCAACTCAATGTCCTGAACGTCAAATAATAATTGGGGACTTTCAAACAAAACATCTGTCCATCGTTGAAGCAAACTGAAAGGGTGGGTGGTTTGCGGGTGCTCTGTTGTGGTTTGCTCCTTCTATCTAGCAAACATCTATTGACCTGATCTCTCCTCCTTCTTTTTTGTGTTTGTTACTCTTTTGTAACACCTCTAATCTTCGGCACTTTTATGACCTTATTGTGTTGTAAGTGCCGTAAAACACTTACTAAAACTAACTAAACTGAAAGAGAGAAATACTAACCAGAATGGCCGTGTTACTGTTGCCTTGTGTGAATTCTTTCATCTCTCCCCGGTACAGCCTGTACATGGTAGTCCTGGGGTACGTGAAACAACAGAGTCAAAGGTCAAAACATTACAGTTGTCGCAACATCTGTAAATGTACTTTTTAGTTAGTTTTAGTAGAGGGTTTACGGCGCTCGCAACTGCATAAGGTCATATGGGCGTCAAGGGGTGGATGTCAACTGAGAGGTCCTTACAGGGAATCAGGCTTACTCTGCTCACTTCTCTATCCTCTACAGCACAAAGTCTGCTTCGACTATCAAGGCACCCCAGAAATAGCGGTCCATAAGAGTTTGACAAACATACAAAAGAAGTAAAGGAAA